CAAAACGTAATTGCACACCTCTGCAAGTCACGCAATTTGAGTTATCATTAATGTCTGTAGATGGTGAAATTAATAATAAATAAAACAAGCAAAAGTCAAAGATTAAAAAATGGCAACTCGCTACAAAAAAACACACTGAAGCCTGGTGGTAAATGGCAATAGTTCTTTTATTTTTTCTCTATATTTTAAAGGTTTATTATTTACAAAGAAACAAAATAAAACAAAAAATTATGAAAATCAAAAGAAGTTTTTGACAAACACCGTTTGTCTGCATATAGGTGTAAGAAAGTATACATTTACCTTTCTTTATTCAGGATCAAGTAACTAATTGTTCATGTTTACAGTATTTATTGAATGATTTTTTCCCCAGTTTTTTTTTTATTATTTTTTTTATTTTTTTAAACCAAGCATTGGTGTACATGAACAAGCATAATGGAAAAAAAAAATAGCTGAGATTAAGAAAGCTTGAGGCCTGTTCTAGAATCTTCCATCATTTGCATCACGTCATTGAACATATCAAACAGAATGATTTCACCTGAATCGTGGAGGCTGCAAACCAACCGTTTAGGTTTACCCCCTTTATCTCAACGTCACTCCTCCTTTTTCTTTTGCATTGTTCATTTCCCATCACATAAACACATATATGATAAAAACAAATAAAAAACAAACATACGAAAATATGTGCTGGTTTTCTTAAACGCCTCCTCAGAAAGTGACAGCATTCTCTTTTTTTAGTGTATTGTTGTATGAACGCCTGTCCTTCCCAATCCGGAATTCTAACAGTGTTTAAAGCTGAGAGGAAAAAGCACATTAACACGGGAAGCGTTCCCCTCCGAAGGCAAGTACAGTATCGAAAAAAGCAGATACCCAGAGTACCGCTGACCGTCCTATCTGTACACTAGTTTCTATACACTATGGCATAGCAGGAGTTAAGCGCTTTTTGTTGTATTTGAACACACAGGTCCTCCCGTCGGGCCAGAGGCCAGACGACGTGATTCTGGATGATGTAGCAACCCCTTTAGTTAATCCACTAATGTATGTGTTTCTGCTTCTACTGTAGGTTTCTCTCTCTCTTTAAACAGAAAGTGCAATTCACAATGAAAGTTTCTTTGAAATGTTTCACTTTGGCCAGTTTCATTCCACACAACATCAGTTAATTAAGTTAAGTTCCGCACACATTTAACCAGCGATCTATCATGATTCCAGCCGATACTGATTTATTTGCGAATAGATATATTTTCACTAATCTCACTAGCAAATCTAGTCCTTTTGCTCCGATACGTTTGGCCATTCCCATTGATTTTTGTTCTCATCAGAAAACATTGAACATACACTTATACACTTGTTTACATACACGTGTGTGCGAATGTGCGCGCACACACGAGTCACACTCATAAAATGAACAGGATGAAACATGGCTATAGTTTAGGCACAAATACTTAAGAATGTCCTTTTTGTGAAAATTCAATGTTTCTGATATGCACAGAGAACGTCTAGGCAGACAATGAACAAAAAAACAATCTCACAATACATTTAAACGTCAACGTTTTTTAAATAGTATTAGTGACAATGCATGCGTCTATGGTCGCTGTATGGGATTTGCACTGGTACAGTACTGACACAAGTGTTTTTTTTTGTCCTTTTTTTGGAGTATTGTCGTCTTTAAACATTGTGCAAGGGGGCTTGGAGACTTTGCACAGGTCAGATGAGTTTTTGAGCTATTTTACCAACTTTTGCTGTATTGACAGAATAAATTAAAAATAGATGGGGTCAGTGCTGCTAGTTACCCCTAGTTAAATCTGTTTTACTACCAACATGGATGACTGACATGCTATTTCAAAGTCTTAAGCCCCAAACTGGATGAATCGATGTATGGGAAAGATAAAAACCTTAATGCAAAGCAGCTTCTGTTTTTCTTTCTTTGAACGTCTATATTTGTTCATCTATCCTTTGTTGGATTCACGTAGTTGCTCTTGAAAACATACAGAATAGTTCTGCTGGCCGTTTTCATAATTGTGTTGTGTCTCCTGTGCCATCGGTTTACGGATTTTTATGTTTCATATCTCAGTTGATGTGTTTTGTAAATCTAGCAGAGCATTAGTAAATAAATACATAAATAAATGTTAAGTTAGAATGTTTTTCACAGTCTTTAAATGCAAAAATAATGGAAAATGCATAGCCAGAACATCTACGTCTATGTAATATTATGAAGTTGGAGTAGTGTTTACATCCATTAATACTGATCCATGCGGAAAAAAAACACTATTAATATGAAAGTATTATAAAACAAAGCATCTATCGATGTATGCAGGCAGCCTATGGCTTCCTTGTTACATCAGCCCAGGAAATGATCAAATAAACATACTAAAATGATGATGTAACATAGGCAAAATGCATTAAGCTTTGCTGATGATGATGATGATGAAGATGCATAACCCCCCTCCCCCACCGCAGTGGTGTCATGCCACTGTAATCACTCATATGCCTTTATCTTTGACCAGCACGATATTTTTGAATACAGATATTGTCTTTATTACTACCTACAGTGTAATGCTACTATTTGCATTAAGGTTTTCTTATCTCTAATGAATGTTTCTGATGTTTGTTGTCACATATTACCATTTGAATATATATATTTATATATATATGCATATATAGGCATTACCCAGGCAGCTGACAGAGATAAGACATTGCCATGTTTGAGAAATGCACCACACATTACTTTTGTAAATACTAGGTCTACAAAACTATGTACAACACACATATAGGTAATATTTATATCACAGTCTATTGCATAATGGTGATAATCTTTAGTTTTATAAATATTGTAAATGTACAGTCTTTAAGTGACATTTCATAATGTCCATCTCGTTCTAAAATCAGATATAGAAAATAAAACCATCCGATTTGACCACACATCCTTTGTAAAAATGAAATAAATTAAAATAAAAAAACAGAAAAAAATACATTGATTCCCTTTAACGCACAAATGCTGTCTTGAAACGCAACGCAATTACTGCACAACACAAAGTATTGCAGAGATCGAATCTGCACCTTGATCTGATGCTCCGAGCATTTTCTGATATTATTTTTTTTTCCCAGCCGCTAAATGTTTTTAGATGTGCTTTTTAAACATTTCAGTATTTCCCAGGTTTGATTTGCGCAAACATTTTCCACAGTGATGCCAAAAGATGCTGAATGCTGTACTTGTTTTGTCATCTTCTCGTTGAGCACAAAAACGGTAAAGAAAACACATTCAAAAGCATTCCAGTACCAAAAACGATAACGAAAATCCGAACCGCAAGGAAAACATCAACAGAAAAGAACATAATCTGACACGTTATAGTCACATATGTTAGAGAGGAAGACTTGCGTTTATACTAGAGTTTTTTTTTTCTTTCCCATATGGCCAAATATTCTAGTTGGATTTGCACATATATATATTTGTATAATATACATTCTTAATATAAGCTGAAGGGGAGGTGTGTCTAAAATATAATACAAGGAAATTCTGTACAGGATAGCTATGAGGTTATTTTTTTCTCAGAGGAATTTGGAGAAAAAAAATATGAGTCTTTTCCCCATTTTTTAGTCTCTCTGTAAAAATCAATCAAAATATCTTTAAAAAAAATGAACATGGAAAAAAAGTAAAACGGGATCATAAATTCGATGCGAACCGCATCTTGTCTTGTTCCGTCTCTGTACTACTTAAGACTGCCGACTCTCTCCTGGAGCCCGTGGAATCCCTGTGCTGGGCACTAGAGGGCACCGTGCGCACCGGCGGTATTGCGCCCGATGACATCTGCCGGAAAAGGGCAACCCTCTGTGGAACGTTGGTGCGGATGCCGCTTTGCAGAACGGAGCCTGGGGCCTGGACGCCTGCCGCAGATCCCATGGGTGGCTGAATGGAAGCGAGCGATTCGCCCGATGTGGGATGTGCCCGGGCAGCCAATGAGGTCTCGTGGGGCAGTGACGGCTGCGAGGCAGAGAGGTGGCGTATGTCCTTGCTCAGGCTGCCTGACTGGAGTGCCTGCGTGCTCTTGTGAACATCGCTCCTCTGAGGGGACGCCCCTTGCGATTGCTGCGGTTGTTGCGGAATGGAGGCAGGCGAGGGCTGCTGGGGTAAGGGTTGCTGTACAAGGGACAGTTGGGAGGCCGTCGGCGATCCATACTGGAATGTTCGGCTGGCTATAGGGGTTTGCACTGGGGGACTGCAAATGGATGTGGTGAACGAACAAGGGGACATGATGGCCCCCACCGGCTGCTGCAAGGGTGTAGGGGGATTCGGGGAAGAGGTGCTCAAGTTGCCGTGAGAAACGCTCGGCGCCGAAAACATGATGCCCTGTGAGGGCGGCACGCGGCCTGACGGGGTTATAGTGGCGGAGGTGCTGTAGCTTAGTGGGGCGGCCTGCTGCTGTAATTGGTTGATCCCAAGAATAGCAGTCGCTGTACTGAACGGTGGCTGGGCGGGAGAGTTAATGATGGAGTTTCCAGACATCGGCGTGGAGTTCATCCCTGTGACTGATTGCTTCCGATCCACCATCATCACCATCTCTCGGTCCTGCCGGATGATCTGCTTCAGCAGCTCGTTCTCCTGAGTGTTGAAGACGCCAGCGTTCAGATCCTTCTGGAATTTCTGGAGCAGGAGTGAGTTCTTCTTCCCTGTTTGGGGGGGTGAAACCAGAAGATAGTCAGTTTTTAGTCGGGGCTGAGCGGGTAACATCTAGCCCAAATGGGGCAACAAAGGGTGTTGAACAGTGAGAGGAGAAGCACAAAGGTTTCACAAATGTAGAAAGGGGAGGCTAGTCACTCCTAAGTAGAGGTTTTGAAGTCGGACTGATGTTGGATTCAACATCTGGAGGTGCTTACCTCATATGGTTTTGCACTCAATCTCAATGCACATTTGTTTTTCACTATCACTAGAGCAAATACACACATTTTGAGTCTAAAACATCACATTCTCAGAGCACACCATAGATACGGTTAGAGTTTCATTACCCTGCTGAAGAACAAGCGTCAAGCTTTTTTTTCTAATCTGGTTTGCTTGACTTCGCTGGTCTCCTAGTCTGGTCAGGTTGGTCTGTTTGCTGGCTTTAGAGGGGCTTTGAGACCACAACCAGCTAAACTTAGCTGTGGACAAGCTTGGCCAGGCTAGGAGACGAGATATATCAGGTATGTCTGAGCTGTTTGTTTTCCAGCAGGGTATCTAGTACTACTGTAATAGGACAAACACACATTTTTATTGCACTTCACTGAGTGATAGTAGGCCTTTACTCAGAAAAAAATCAGCAGCTAATGATCCTATAAGCCTCTTCTAGGATATTTTCGTGTATAAACTTAGTTGTAGTTGTTGTATTAACGACTGTTATCGTCTCTTCTCTTAAATAGTTAAAGTAGCTTTTTTTTTAATTGTCCATCTACCCTGATAGCTAGGCTAAGCTAAGTTTTTGTGTTAGTGTTTTACAATGGAGGACTAGGAGTGTCACTTTAAAAATAATTTTTAAAAAGGCAAATAAACTCAAAAAAGTAAAAAAATGTAAGAGTTAAAAAAATGTCAAAGTTAAATGTAACAGTGAAAATAAATTTGATTTAGCAGAAGGAAAAAGAAAGGCAAATGGAAAATAAATAAAGCAAAGCAGTTTGCAAAAGTTTTCCAAATCATTTTAAATATGTAAATATGAAATATAATTTATAGTTTGTTATATTTTGCTACATTTTAAACGTTAATTAAAAAAAAAAAAAACCTATTTATTTGTCAATTTGAAAAGTTATTTATATTTTTATTTATACTGATTATGCCTTTTTTTATTTTTATGTTATTTATTTATTTATTTATTTGTGGAACTGCTAGTCCTCCATAGTCTACATATAGGTAGAATCATTGATCAGTGCAGTTAACAGTCATCTATTTGTGGGTTACTGTGAAATAAATGTCAAAGTTTGAACCAGCAATAAAGAAAATGAACTGATTGATCACCTAATGTTTGTAAAAAATGCTGTGAGATTATTGTCAAATATGAATTTAACTTCACTCCAGTGTGCCAAATGGACTTAGATCTGCTTCTTTTACTCAAGTCACAGTTTTGCTTCTATCATAAATGAGGGATGTATCGATTTTTCCATGAACCTCTACTATTACTGCCCTTTTGTATACAATAGCTGAGCATAGCTCTATTGTTATAAGATGACTGAGTAAGGCTCTTATGAGCTGAAGGCATAAAGCAATAGGCTATCAATCTCTCAGCCGTAGCTGTAAGAGCGAATCAGGCAGGAGGCACAGTTTCATGACCCAGCTGCTTTGGGACATATACACTTTTATAATCAAGCTGTCTGCAGTGTTGAGCGCAGAATTGTTATATATTTAATCATTAAGGAAGGACTATTACACACTTTTCTGATTAGAGAAAGAATGCCATTTTAGTCCGATTTTTAGATGTTTATGGGGGCAAATGCTAATAGCTTTTCAGTGCATCATGACAGGTGTTCATTGAATCATTGTTGCATTATAAATACTATTCTTCAAACTTTGCAAAAGTTTAATGAAAAATACCATAGAGTTAATGCTACTAGCCTTTATTTATTTATTTTGAAAACCATGCGTATATTGTCACGACTACCTGTCAGGCATCACTGAAATAGTGGTTAATTTCAGAAATCACTTGTCTTTGTGACAGCACTGGCATTTTATAAAGTTTTCAATACATACCAACTGAATTTGAGTATTTTGCAATAAAAAAATGATGGCAAATGTTGAATTATTGTTTTTATTTTATTATTATTATTATTGCAATATTATTTGCAATGCTCCAGTCATGGGATTGTGTTTATTCACCGATTAGAAATGTTATTATTTTAGTATGTTTTTTTTTGTAATGCTGTTATTTTTATAAATAATGTAATTTTGGAGAATTTCTTAAGTCTTTATTGATGTTTTTTTTTTTAAATCCCTATATAAAAATAAATGGGAAAAAACTTTACAAACCAAGATGGCTTCAAAGTGGACCGGCACAGAAGATTTAATGTGATATGAAAATAATGCTTTTCTTGTCAAAACATATACTACATAGCCAAAAGTATGTGGACATAAGCCATCAGCACCAGATGGATGATGGCTTAAATTAAAATACGAACAATATGATCTGCTATTAAGAGCATAATGTGGTAGCGCAGGACAGTAACTGTCAGGATGAAGGAATTTAAACACTGTCTCCTAATAACTTACTGTAATACGTATATTTTATTTAAGGCTGTTCCCATGGGGGGAAGCGATCAATAACCAATTACGCAGAGTTTCAGCACTATGTCATTTGTTATTAGCTGAGGCAGAAAATGAGAGATATCATATGTGACTGAAGAAAGAAAGGGGCTCTTGAGGATGAACAAGTCTGGTCTCGACAGGAACGGTTATTCAGGGGGACAGGAATATCGTGTACATAATCGCAGTAAGGACAAAAACCTCCCTGGAGACGTCTCTGAGGTTTTACAGGCCTGTCGTGTCCTTGCATATCCAAATATACACAATTTCCTTGTTCGCGGTGCGTATCGACTAGTCTGGTAGCGGTAAACATGGCTGGGTGAGTTTTGTAGAGAGGCAGTCAGACCTGAGATGCATTTTGGTGTGGGGACAAATAGTGACTGATTGCCCCTGATGTTTGCAACCCACCCTGAGAGAAATGGCCTTTGCGTATTCGTTCTCAGAAGGCAAAGGCCACGATGTGTAATCTATTGGCAGCCACAGTGAAATGAATCCAGATGAACACTGAAGAGACTACAGTCTACTTCTAAATGAACACGCATTGTATGTCTATAGACTTACGTGATGTCTGAAAAGAGGTTTGGAGGTATCGTGAATTCTGTGAATGAGGAGTTGATCAAAAACATGTTATTCACAGGACTCTAAAAGGCCAGTGGAGAAGGGGATAGACAGGCTCCTTCTAGATCTATCATGACCTCTAAGAGATTAAATGTTCTACTGGATATGTTTAAAGTGTAGATGTTCTCTGACACCCTTGCAGGAACTTTGAGTTGATACTGTATGTCGTGTTTTATTGACCAAGTCTTGCAATCAACCAAATCTACAGGGATTTCTGCAGGAAATTACATAATCTCGGGTTGTACTAAACTAAGTATTTGGCTTGCAGTAACCCAAAACATATTTAGACACTTCAGTCACATTTAAAAATGCATGAATGTCATTGCATTACATAACAAAATATGAAAACCAAGTAGCATTAAATGGAAAGAATGCCATCTCAAACCCAAGTGATCTAATTAGTAATCTAATCAGCTTCTAAAACATAAACATTTGTAGGTCTCTGATGATGTTTATACATAAAATTCTTATGAACCCTTTTAGGCTTAGAGAATATGTTGATTTTATTGTAGTTAATTAATCACATTAATTCTAAATGTTCAGTACTATCATATTTAATGCATTATATATAAAATATATACAAAAGTGTGAAAAAAATACAGTGTATTAATATTTTTTGTCAATAATTCATTCACTATAAACTATCAACATATTAATTCAATATTCTCTATATAAAACATATGATATAGAAAACAATGAATTTAATAAAAAACAATGTCAAATTAGGTGAACGCATTTTGATATAATCTACAGAGCCCCGCACATGACATGCAAGAATAAATAAATAAATCGTGTGCACGATTTACTAATTCGTTCCCTCGATGTACTAAAATGTGCACAGGATTACTATTTCGTTCCGTCAATTTGCTAATTCGTTCCCTCGATTTGCTAAATTGTGCGCACAATTTATAAATCGAGGGAACGAATTAGTAAATCGTGCGCACAATTTATAAATCGAGGGAACGAAATAGTAAACCGTGCACACGATTTAGCCTACTATTTTTTTCCTGCATGCTCCGTAATAATCATACCATTTCTATAAAATTGCAAAATGTACGCTATTATATTTCTAAAGCTGTGCAAGCTTAAATGTCCTATGTTTTAGATGCTGTCAGTATCCAAACTGTATGTCTCAATGTTGTATTGTACATTCAGACACCGTTGGGACCAGTGCTCAGTTTTAAGTAAAACTCTCAATTTTCTGTCAGTTTCATTGTTTTCGAAGAAATAATTGAGTAGTTTTTTTTTTTGGCAAAAATATAATTTGACTGTGAGCAAGAAGACCTATAAAAAAAGACATTCTGAACATTGCTTTAGCATTGATTTCACAGTAACCCACAGTCTCTTTCAGAACAAAACCTATTACATGGGGCTTGTAGAAACACACATCTCCACCGAATGCTCTTAGACATTCAGCAGAACGGAACATTCTATTTCACCTCTAAGCTTGACGGCCTCCACTGAGACACATTAGCCCTCTGCTGCATTCTTCTGGGGCTGAATGGGGATACTGGGCTTAATTTCTTTGTATCTGTGTCACTAAAGATGCCTAATAACCTGAAGTCTGCCTCCCATTCTCTAATTAATGAGTGGAACACAGTGAGCCGTGAATGCGGCACACCATTGAGCTCAAACACCTTGCCAGGTGGCCGCCATGATGTTTGGACCACGGCTATAAATAGGCCCGAGAGAAAGCTGCCTACTGTATATTTTAGCTTCTGTTGCTAACATGTAAAACTGTGTAAACTAGTATGAGTTTCGTTTGAGAGGTAGGGATGTAAAGTGCAAA